ACCACTTCATTGAGCAACAGTATTCACGGGGTCCTCATGGAGGGCATATTGGTTGAGATTTATAATAATTACCAGGTGAACTAAGGGGCTCTAGGTTCCCCCACTTAATTTGGGAGGACCTAAGTTTGACCATCTGTTCAGTGAATGAAGATAGGGACAAAAGAAAAAAAAAAACCCAAGTTTTCATTTTGATGCTCTTTCACCATACTTGTTTTAAAATTTGAAAACTCCACGAAGTCCAGGGACAACTGAGTACTTCCTACCAGATTTACTGAGAAGAGCTTGGAGGAACAGGGCCCCCACTTCCCACTGGCCTTATGCAGAGCAGGGGTCTGGTGAAGTATGTTGGTGTTCCAGTCAGGATTTCATTTGGCAAAAAAGATGGCTGCTAAAATAGTGTAAAAGGTTGTAGAGCTGTTGGTGTGAATGGCACACTAAGGTGACTAGCACTGAGCAGTTGAGCCACAGCTGAGTTCTCAGGTCTGGGTAGATCTTTGCCCCAACGATTAAACACTCTCTAAAATCTTGTGTTCAGGGACCATTACAGGGACATAGTAGGTGAAGAAAACAAATGTGATTAAGTGGATGGAAGGATGGATGGATGGATGGATGGATGGGGTGTTGGATGGAGGGATGATCTTCAATGATGGATGAAGTGTTTTATGGATTGATGGATAGAGTGTTGGACAGATGGATGAGGGGATGAATTGGGGGATGGATATAATTTTGGATAGATGGAGGTGGGTGGATGGATGGGATATGGGATGGAAAGTGAGAGGGAAGGATGAATGGAGGGAGGGAGAGATGGATGAAGAGATGGGTGGCTAGATGAATGAATAATCTGGTGGTATATAGTCAGCACCTGTAGTTTAACCTACCTGTGTTTGGAATCTGAATTCAGCACTTACTAGCTGTGTGACCTTGGGTAACATATATAACCTCTAAAAGTTTTAGTTTTCTGATCAACAAAATAGGTCTACCGATGACACATCCCTTGTAAGAGCATTCTGAGAAATATATGATCCAATGCATGTAAGAGCCAGTGTCTGGGACATCGTAATCACTGAATAAATGATAGTCTCTAATATCTCAAGCAGACAAGACTATGAGGCAAAGTTATGAACAAGGTTTTGTTTATTTTTCTGTTGTTAAGGGAAATCACTTGCCATTTTAAGAACTAGTTCATATCCTGAATGCAAGTGGCAACACGTTAAAATGTTGACTGGGCCTGGTCCCTGCAGGTGTTGAGATAACTAAGCACTGAGGGAAATTCAGACACACTTTCATTTCCTCGGGACCACTGACAACAATAACCAAGGTTTTAAGCAAATACATAATTGGTATTGAACTGAATCACTCATTTACTAATTGTTTCTCCATGCCCAAATATTAACTGGCATTTGCTAAATTAGCCGACCCAGCTGGAGGGACCAGGAGGACTCATTAAAGCTGATGATTTGTAGGAAGTGAAATGTATGTAAGAGACAGTCCCAGTGAACAGAAGGATGCCCGGGCTCAAGTCAGAAGCCTTGGAGTTAAATCCCTGTTCCGATATGCTTTAGTGCTGGAATTAGCCTGAACCTCAGTTCCTTGTTAAAAATTATGATAATAATAGCTGCAAAGGTCACAGGGATAGGATTATGAGACAAGGCAGGTGAATGCATTGAGCAATTATTAAGTGCTATCCAAATGTAAGATGATACTTTTGCTATTCAGGTGATTAATATACAAGACCAAGTACTGAAGGAAGCTTAAGTTTCCTGGCCTCATCACAGTGACTGTTTTCCCTGATCAGATTTGCTGCCTGATTAATTTACTCTCCCCTGCTTGCCACACACCCGAGAAAGCCAAGAAATACACAGACAGAAGGGAGCATCAAACCTAGGCAATAATCCAGATAATTCAGGCAAAAGAATTCTTTTGTTCCGTATATCAGATACTGCAGTCAAAGGGGCTTGCTGTGGGTGGGGGAGGGTTGGAAAGAGCACGACCACTAAGGTGACTCTTCACTTCAGATTCCTAAATCAGACACATCTGTCGTCCACATGGGGGGTGACAGGGCCCTGCTGACAGCCTGTCCTGTCCTGAGTCCCTCACTTGGCCGTCTGTGTGTCTCTCTCTGTCTGACTCTTTCCCTCCGAATGTCTCTCTCTAACCCCTTTTACCTGTCTCTTCTGAATCGCATTTTATCTCTGGATTTCACTTTGGTTCTCTGTGGCTTACTCTCCCTCTTGCTCTTCCTGCCGGCTTACTTGTCCCTCGGACTCTGCCTCCTATCCTCTCTCTGTCTCCTGATGCCTGTCACTTTCACTAACTCTCTTCTCTGAACCTCGCCTGCTCTCTCTTGCTTGGGGTTTCAGACCCCCTCTCACTCTCCTTCTGTCTCTTTGGCTCCATCTCCCATTTCTCTCCTCTCTCCACCTGTTTTCTCTCCTCTCTTTCTCTCTGGACCTCTGTCGCCTGTCCCTCCCTTTCTCTCCCTTTCTCTCCCTCTCTGTTTGCTACTGTCTGACTCTCCCTACTGTCTTCTCTCAGATGCTGGAAGCTGCTGCCCACTCTTTTACAAAATCTGCTGTGCGGTTCCTCAGTGACCAATTTTCTTTCCTACGGTTAGAAAGTAGCTCAGGCCTTAACCCATTTCCTCCGGCGTATTCAAATTAATTAGGTGAGACCAGGATCACGCATTTCAGAATTAGAATAATATTTATTGAGCACCCTGGAGAGAAGGGGATGGAAGATGGAGAGGAACCGGAGCAAGGAGGGGGGTCACCAGTGGAGGGAGGGAGAGTAGGCAGAGGGACTCACTCTTAAGGCCACGTGGTCTGGGAATGAGGGCTGCCTTCCTAGTTGGCAGAGGGTACTGGAAAGGAAGGATCCTGGAAAATGGTCACACATGGGTGTGGGAATAGGAGCATTTCCTTAGCTGCCATGTACTTTACAACATGTGGCAGGGTTCCCGTCCTTAGGTAGCCTGTCAGGCAGCCTTGTTTGAGAAACACCTTTTGCTGTACATCCCTCTCTCTTGGCTGTGCTGACCAGCTCAGTGCAGCCCACTGGGCATCAGGAGCCCTCTCCCAGGAGAAGATACATCTCATAGCACAAACTGTTTTCTTATTTTCTCACATGACCTAGAGACAGCCCCTGGTAACCACAGTTCTGCTTTCTGTCTTTACAGATTTACCTAACTGGGTATGTTATAGAAACATGATCTTTTACGGTGTGCTTCTTTTACTTAGCATGATGTTTTCAAGGTCCATCTGTGTGATAGCATGTGTCAGTATGCCTTTTTAAAATGACTGAATAATATTCCATTGTGTGAATATACCATATTTTGTTTTTCTTTTCAGCAGTTGATGGACTTTTGGGTTGCATCTACCCTTTGGCTATTATTAATACTGCTGCTTTGAACTTTTGTACACAAGTTTAATACAACATATGTTTTTTATTGTTCTTGGGAATACCTAGTAGATTTGCTGGGCCATATGTTAATTCTGCGTTTAAGGAACATCACAGTTTTGAGGAAGTGCTAAACTGTTTACCAAAGGGATTGCAGGGTTTTCCATTCCCACTAACAGTGTATGAAGGATTAAATTTCTCTACCTCCTTGCCAACACTTGGTATTATGTGGCTTTTCGGTTATAGCTATCCTAGTGTGTATGAAAGGGTATCTCAGCGTGATTTATAGTTTTGGGACTAATATCTAGGTATATAATCCATTACGAGTTAGTTTTTTATATGGTGTGAGGTAAGGATCCAACTTCCTTCTTTTTCATGTGGCGATCTAGTTGTCCCAGGACCATTTTGTGAAGAAACTATTCTTCCCCCCGCAGTTTACTCAGATGCATTTCTAAACTGCTGCAGTTGTCACTTTTCATGGGGCCAGAGTGTTGGAGCTGGACTCCTGGTAAGAGGGAAGCCTTGGGTTGGGCAGGGCCCCACCCCTCAGAGACACCCCTTAGGAAAATGGAAGAGTCTTTGCCTGGCATGTGCAAAATGGAGTGCATTGAGGACTGGGGACCTGGCTCTGAAGTGACAGTATCCAGGTGTAGTCTCTTGTGGCTGTCCTTACTCATCTGTTCCCCACTGCCAGTGAGTATGTCACATGTCATACCCACAGAGGGCGTTCTGTTTGAAAGCAAGTAGGGGAGCAATTCCCCCTAAATTATGAGCCCCTAGATGGCAGGAATTGGGTCCCATTGATCTCTCTCTCTTCAGTGAATGATGCATGCTGAGTCCTCAGTCACTGCATGTTTGGTTGTTGAAGCTGGGCACTGAGTTAACAAAAGCTGCTTTCTCTTGAGTAGCTGGACCTCTTGCAGGGGAACGGGTCTCTCCTGCTATGGCAGAGTCTCTGCTTGTCTTTCTTTCTTCCTGTGTATTTTTTCCCTGTGTTTGTGATTGCTCCCTCCTCTAAACTCCAGTTGTCTTGACTGTCTGCACCATTCACGTGTTTTGATTTTTATCTTTTCATCTCTATGTCCTGTCCTTGCAGCTCAATCATACCCTTCCTTGATTGCAGGAGCTGTGTGTCGTACTTATTTGGGTCTCCAGTATCTAGTACATGATACTCAGTGTGTGGTTTTGGATGACGAAGTGGTCCCCTGATATTAGTGACCTGCTGCTGAATTTGAGGCCAATAGTTTCAGCCCTTCACCATAGTGGCATTCCAGTGGCCAACTGCTATAGATACCTGCCTGGCATAGGTGGATATCTGGGGAGCCAGTATTTTGAAAGGGCTCAGAGTTTACTAATGTGAAATGAATTAAGGAAAGAAACCATAGCCCCAGCCTTTTAGTCTGTACCTCCAGGCATGGTAACCTTTACCCTGTGTCCCCTGCTGAAACCAACACCAGATGTAGCTGACTATTGAGAGCTGAATGCTGTCTCTCTCTCTTCCTGCATCTCTGCAAATCAAAGGGCATATGAAAGTAAGCCAACTCCCCTCATGGGTGTGCACACCTGCTCAGTGAATCTCATTATGTGATCTCCTCCTTGTTTAGGGCTCTGGCTGACATCTTAAGACAACAGGGACCAATCCCCATAGCACACTGTGAAAGAGAAACTATCTCGGCTATCGATACCTCTCCCAAAGAGAACACGCCGGTTAGATCGTCCTCCAAAAACCACTACACTCCTGTGCGTACGGCCAAGCAGACTCCAGGTAAGTAACAGCTGGACACCTTGATTCTTTGCTGAGGCTGGTGAGAGGTTTCAAGATGTTTCTGCTCTGGTGGGGCAGGTTGTGGACATATGATGGTGAGATGAGCGACTCTCTGATGGACAGGCAGGCTTGCAAAAGATTTTTGGGACTTTCTCCCTGGGGTGAGTTTGGAATGGGCAAGACTGTTGCCGGTCAGTGTCTGGGCTGGATGAGAACTGACAATTTCAGGCACGTGTGACCTAGTGAGTGGCTGGTATAAAGGAGCTTGCAGCATCCATAGCAGGGTATGGCCATCCATTCAGCCATGTGGTGGGAAACTTTAGGCTGAGTAGGATGCTAGATATGTGACAATAAATTACTGTACCCCACTATAGAACCTGCTCAACTACTGGGATCTCAGAGAGCTCCTTCCTGAGGATGAGAATTAACATCTCTATTTTTGCGTGTCTTTTTCCTGTGCTCTGTAGATTCCCTGGATGTATGATGAGTTGCCATAAAATAACAATATGCCTTCTACTTTTTGTACTTATCATTGCTATAACTGTGAAGAAAATGGCAGGGCTTATTTTCCTTGTCATACGGGTCGATATATGAAGCTCAAGGAAATTTAGTAACTTGAACAAGGTCACTGAGATGTTAATAATAATTAAAAAATCAGTAATAACAGTAATATAACCTAAATATTTATTGGAATCTTGTTCTGTGCCAAGAGTCATGCTGAGCCTTTTACGTGTATTTTCTTATTTATTCTCCACAGCAATCTTAGAAATACTTATATTATCCCCATTTTGTGTGAGGAATGGAAAGGCTAAGTAACTTTCCCAAGGTTACATGATTAGTAAGAGAGAAAAACAAGATTCAAACCAAGGCAAATAGTTAACAATAGTAAGAACTAGGAAACTGTAATATCCTTACCCAGTTAAGGGTATGAATCCAAAATATCTGAGTGGACAGTCTCCTTACAAGTACAGCTTGGGAAGTCATCTCTTGTAGTGAGTGTTTCCAGATAGCCTCTTACTGGTACTAATCCTAGTCCCAGAGAAAGCTTTTACTTTGATACTTGCATCTGAAATCTTCACATCTATTACTCTGTAGTTTTCAGAGGATGGGCAATGTGATCTGAACTAAGCCTGCAATAAGGATATATAACCACTAGGTGGCAGTGGATGTGACCAAATCCAAACTATAGCAAAAGTGCTGATGAGATCAAATTTATTTTCCATTCATTCTTTATTTTTCTTAAATTTATTAAGTCAGAAACCTAATATTTGCTTTTAAAATAGCATTCTTAAATCTTCTGAGAGCCTAATAAAAGGAGATGACACTCCCTCCTGAGAAATACATATACATATTTATATTCATCCAACAGTTTGTATATGATTTAAGGGAGTTAATAGATTCATCCAAAGTTAAAAATCCCGGCTGTAAAGGTAAAGATGGGGACTCCACATTTGCAAAATGTCTAAGATGCATTTTAAGCTTTAACACCATAGATCCTTAAAACATAAGCAATAGAAGGAATCTTGGTAAAAACATCTGGACCAGTGGTCATCTACATGGATGCATTTTAGAATCACCTGAGGAGATCTTAAAAATGCTGATGCCTGGGCTCCACAGAATCACCAGAATTTCTAGGGATGGTGTTGGCATCACATTAGTATTTTAAACAATCTCCCCAAGGTGATTCTAACATGTGTCTAGTGGTGAGAATCACTGGTTCTGAAGGATTCCTTCATTTTATGAGTGAAGACACTGAAAACCTAAGCCAGTGGTTCTCAAACTTGGCTGTACATTGGAATCAAGTGGGGATCTTTAAAAATTAAGGATGCCTCGGCCCCACCCCCAGAGACTGATTGAATTGATGTAGAAGTGTGGTCTGAGAATGGAGGTGGGTGGGGGGCTGGTGGCTAACACTTCCCAGGTGATTCTAATGTGGAACTAAGTTTGAGAGTCACTGGGCTGTGGGAGTTGCATAGAGACACCGTTGTAGCTAATCCTTTTTGTCACTGCTCGCTGTTGAATCCAACTCTGGTATTGTCACCACCTTTGAGTAGTATATTTTGATTTTTCCAAGGATTCATCCTTTGAAGTCAGTCTCCACCAGAACCTTGTTGTGACTCTGAAACTTCAGGTCACTCTGGCATCAAAAGCACCCCTGGTTGTTTATCTTCCCCTCTCTCTGTTTGGGTTTTCTTTGTCTCATTCTCAAGCGAGCTGGTTCCCCACTGCTGAATCCAGACTGATTAGGTGGACAGTCTGGATTTGCCCTTAAATACCCTTCACAGAGCAGGAAGATTTGTCATTTCTTCTGGTTTCTATATACCTCGTCTCTTCTAGTGAGCTGAGAAGGAAAGCTTCCAGTTACATGATTCACTTCTATGTTTCAAGAAATTCTCCTCCTGTATTTCTCAAATTGGAACTCTTCACTTTGCGCTTGGAGATGGGAATAGTATCCTGGCCCAGAAAGCATTCTCAGTTGTGATGCTTAAATTTAAAAGCAATTTCATCACAAGCTGCAGCTTCTACAGATTATAATGGACACAATGCTTTTCCAAACAGTTGATATCCTTTGCCACAAAATATTGCAGTTTGAGCAGAAGTTGAACAGAACTTTGCGTAAGTGTTCAGAGTGGAAATTTACCGTAATTTTGACACTCATCAAATCAACAAACCATCAGTTGTAGGAGTATGGTAGTAAGTTTTTAGGGGGCTATTAAGGAAGATATCCAGTAACACCAGTAGGCATCAGAGCATATGAGTAGCTTTGATACTCAAGATGGTTTCGGTGGGTCAGCCACATCAGCATCACCTGAGAGCTTGTGGGAAATGCAGAATCCCAGACTCTACCTCTCCTGCTGAATGAGAACCTGTAATTTGGTGAAATCGCTTAGCAATTAGAGTTTGAGAAGCACCGGGAAAGCTTGAGCATTTAAGTATCTTCCTCAGTTTGTCTTTTGGCCCTGTCTCTTACTATGTATGTGATATTGGGCAAGATTCTTTGTCTTTCCAAGTTTCTTTGTCTGCTGTTGAAGCCAATTGTACCTGTACGTCAGAGTTGTTTTAATTGTATAATGAGTTAAACCAAGTAAAGCACTGAAGACAGGTCCCCATACATAGCAAACACTGACTGTTAGCCATGATCAGGCTATGGAGGCACATCCACAGCTCATGGAAGATGAATCGAATGAAAGAACCAAAGGCAATGCATTGGTGTCCTTAGACCAGGCAGGGTCCGTGGGGTTATGTCTGGGATGAAGGTCCCTGGACTCAAGCCTTCCTGTGGTTGGCTGCTGTCTGAGGCACATCCTCTGGGGATGAAAGTAATTTGTGGGGCTTGGTCAGGGTTTTGGACATTGAAAGCACATGCTTGGTTGGTTTGGGATGTGGGTTGAGAGTCCTGCAGTAATAACGAAAACAATAATAGCACAAGTACCACAGATTGAGAACTTACTATGTATTGGGTACTCTGCTAGGCACTTTATGCATAATAGCGAATGGATCCTGTAACATTTCTTAGATGTGAGAGTTTCTAATCCCACGTTAGCAGAAAAATCCTGTCCCCTTCTATAAGAGCCTTTTACCCCAACCCTTCCAGGAAGCCCCTTTCCAGCTTTAAAGATTGCCACATACGGGACACTTGGTTGGAATGTAGAAAACCAATGAACCCTGCTTTCATCCCTTACCCCTCAAATCTGGCTGCCTGCAGACCCTTGCTACCCAAAGTGCGGTCCGTGGACCAGCAGCAACTGCATTCCATTGGAACTTATTAGAAATGCAGAGTCTTGGGCTCTTCCCCATACCTACTGAATCTGAAGCTGCATTCAGGATCCTCAGAGGATTTGTACACATGATAAAGTTGAAGAAGACCTCTTTTAGCTCAGTGATTCTCAGCCCTGGTCACACATTGGAGTCGTGTGGGGAATTCTGAAAATACCAATGCCTGCCCCCATCCCAAAGATTCTGATTTACTTGGTCTATAGTAGGACCTGGCATTGATATTAAAAAAAGAAACAAACAAAAACAAACTTCCCACGTGGTTCTCCAGTCCAGAAAACTTTGCAAACTGAGCTCTTAAAGTTTTGAGGGAACTGGAGGAAAGCTGTCAAATAAGGAAGAGATTCTTTGAAGATTATTGAATGTAGGTTCACATCAAGATCTGCAAGATGGAGACTGGCTAGGCAGAGTGAGTGTGGCTGTTGTAACCAGTCCTCTCCTCAACAGGTGGGGCCGAAGGGTGTGGAAGACTCAGGCTCATCTGAGAGAGGGAGGGGATCAGTATAGAGCTTTGAATGGAGACCCCTGGGCAAAAGCAGGCGTAAGTAGAAATAGAAAGCTTGTTTAAGGGACCAAGTGGAGTCATGAAGAGATGCACCATACCGAGCATTGCAGTTCCCTGAGTCCAGCACCTTAGAGGCTTGCTGTGGGCTCGCTTTTCCCATAGATGGGAAGTAGGAGAGACTTAGCATGTTTGCCTTACCTCACCCCCCTCCTAAAGAGCCTGTCCTGGGACATCTAGGGAGAGTGGGGTACCCATTCCTGGCAGTAGTAATGAGATCATGTGCTGAGGTTACAGAATGTTGATATCCAGATTCGCTTTATCAAGAGTGACATCATTTGGAGAGAGTAAATATTCATGCCCATCTGCATACCACTGTGAGTTGTATAAAAGAACAGCCAGTCATCCTGCCTGTTGTCAAAGCCATATCCATTAATGGCAGACAAAGGGAGCCAAGGGTCATGACTCTCTAAGCTTCATGGAGACCCAGAATGAAGGCTGAACAGGTGGCAGAGGAGCACTCTGCCACAGCCCTGCATGCCCTGGCTCCCATCCATCACCCCATGCCTCTCTGACCTCAACCCCTACTACCTTCTGCGTCCCTCCCAGGCTCCAGACACACTAGTCTTCTCCAGACACACTGTTTCTTCTCATGCCGTTTGTATTCTTGCATTGAGATGTTTTCCCCTCTCTGTTCCTGTAGCCTCAAATTTTCTAGCACTAG